TTTTTTTTGTTTTGAAAGCAGTTTTTTATTTTGATAAACAAAAAAAACAAAAAACAAAAACTTGTTTGGCTATTCATTTTTTGTTAAATGTTTTTTAAAAAATCTGTTTTTAAAAACTTAAAAACCAAAACAATTTTAATTGTTTTTTGTTTTTCGTTTTGTAGTTCTTATTTTTTGTTCTCCTCTTGATGGCTTTTTCTTCTTTTGAATATTTGAGTTTCATCATAGCCTCACCCTCTCATTTGAGTATGTTTATTTTCAAATGTAATTCTTTAGAACAATTTCCAAATAGATTTTTTTTGTTTTCAAAACTTGTTTTAAAAGAAATTTTATAAAATTTTAAAAACAAACAACCAAAAACAGATCCAAACAAGCCAAATTTCGGTATTCCTTCTTTAATTAGGTTTAAAATGAATTGAATATTTCCCTCTGCATGGATCGAGAGGAATAGAAGGGATGGGATGAAAGAACTTAAATGTATAATGTTTGATTCAATGAAGAAGAGGGAAAGAATTTTAGCAAAGGAGAGATATTCTGTGAAGGAGAGAAAGTTTGAAGATTCCTTCAAATTTCCCCGATTTTGAAGGAGAATGTTTAGGAGCTCATTTGGTTTCTTGTTTTGGAAACAATTTTTATTTTTTAAAAAACAGAAAAACAAAAAAATTTGTTTGATAATTTATTTTTAGTTAATTATTTAAAAAACAAAAAAATAGTAACCCCACCTCATATATGGGAGCATCTTTTTGGCTGTGGAAAAAGTTGGATATAATTCATTTTGGCTAATGGAAGCCTTACAACTTTAGCAACAGTTACAAAAAAGTATTAGTACCTAACAATAATATTATTAGGAAAAGAAAGAACTTAAATGTATAATGTTTGATTCAATGAAGAAGAGGGAAAGATTTTAGCAAAGGAGAGATATTCTGTGAAGGAGAGAAAGTTTGAAGATTCCTTCAAATTTCCGATTTTGAAGGAGAATGTTTAGGAGCTCATTTGGTTTCTTGTTTTGGAAACAATTTTTATTTTTAAAAAACAGAAAAACAAAAAAATTTGTTTGATAATTTATTTTTAGTTAATTATTTAAAAAACAAAAAAATAGTAACTTGTTTTTGAAAACTAAAAAACCCAAACAACCTTTATATTTTTTTTTGTTTTTTTTATTTTTTGTTTTGAAAAATTAGAGAAATCTTCTCCTCTTCTCATCAACTATCCGTCACTTATCACTATCAGTGACAATTACCACCTGGCAATGTGTGTTTTTATATTTTTTAACTGTCATTTTTAAGTTGTTATCAAAACAAAGTTTTTTTGTTTTGTTGTTTTTAAAACTTGTTTTAAGAAACAATTTTGTAAAATTATTTTGAGAACAAGAAAACAGAGAATAAAAACAAACAGACCCTAAAATTCTTCTTCCTATCTTCTCCATCTTGTTTAACTAAAACAAGAGGATTTGGAAATATCTCCCTTCCGTATTTTTATATCAAATAAGGACAGGAGAGTAAAAGCCCTCCTTTTCTCCCTCCAACCAAACAGATAATGAACTAAAATAAAAAATACATAAATAAAAACAATTACCTTGATTTTTTTTGTTTTGAAAGCAGTTTTATATTTTGATAAACAAAAAAAACAAAAAACAAAAACTTGTTTGGCTATTCATTTTTGTTAAATGTTTTTTAAAAAATCTGTTTTTAAAAACTTAAAAACCAAAACAATGTTTAATTGTTTTTTGTTTTTCGTTTGTTGTAGTCTTATTTTTTGTTTGGAAAAATTGGGAAACTCCTTTTTCTCCTCTTGATGGCTTTTTCTTCTTTTGAATATTTGAGTTTCATCATAGCCTCACCCTCTCATTTGAGTATGTTTATTTTCAAATGTAATTCTTTAGAACAATTATCCAAATAGATTTTTTTGTTTTTAAAAACTTGTTTTTAAAAGCAATTTTATAAAATTGTTTAAAACAAACAACAAAAAACAGATCCAAACAAGCCAAATTTCGGTATTCCTTCTTTAATTAGGTTAAAATGAATTGAATAATATTTCCCTCTGTATGGATCGAGAGGAATAGAAGGGATGGGATGTTTGGGGTAATTTTTAATGATTTTATTTTAAAAATAATGAAGAGGTAGGGTGAAAAATTTTAATAAATTTTCCCTTCTCTTCTCTCTCTTCTATTCTCTCTGTTCTCTCTGTTAAAATTCCCCCAAGTCACAACTTTTATTTTTAAAAAAAGATATTAGAACCATTAAGATTTTTCCTTTCCACAACAAAACTAGAAACTGGAAAAAAAAACAGAATATAGTGAAAAGTGATAGAGTACGCATTCAATATAAAGGTTTAAAGCCCAAAAAAGCAAATATCTAGTTAAAAGGCCCAATAAGTCCTCCAGAGTATTCAAGAGATGTTTAGTCCAAGAATGCTTACATGGAGGAAGACATATATAATTGCTGGACTTGTATTCTCTCCACTACCCTTCCTATCTTCTTCCCCTCCACTACCCTCCTTTTCCCTTCACAACCATTGGATTAAAACTTCAAGGATCCAGATTTAATATTTTATAACATTTTATAAAAATAAATATTATTATTAAAAATAGATAAATAAATTTAAACTATTAAAATTTAATATGATGAATTCATAGTTGTAAGCTGTAATTATGGAGCAAATTTTTCTCAATTTTTTATTACAGTTGTGAATTGTTTAGACCAAATTTTAACAATTTAAATCTATTTATTTATTTATTTTTAATAACACTATGTTTATAAGATGTTAAATCTGAACCCTTAAAGTCCTGATCCGATGGTTGCGAAGGAAAAAAGACGGTAGTGGAGAGAATCTAAGTCCATAATTGCTTTGATGATAACATGAACAATCATATATGTGAAGCTTGATATGACACATGACAACATAGTTTCAATGCCGCAATGTTTGGCATGTGAGTTATTAGTGTATACACACTTAGATGTTAAGAAAGATAAGAGCATGTTTTAAAGGCCTAAAAAGAGTATTCGAACCCAATTCCCATGTGATTGAAGGCTCGATGCAATTGTCTGTGCAAAGAGGAACCAATGGAACTGCAATCTATTAAACTAGGGGGCAAATACATTATGTAATAGATCATGGGAGTTTTAGGACATGATCCAATCATATCTAAACCCAAATGGGTGTGTAAAAACCCATACATGTTTATAAACGTAGATACTATTTATGAAGATTTATTTAAAAGGTCCAAAAGGATTCAAAAAGCATTAAGAATGATTTTATATGACATTATTTTTTAGGTGATTTTTTATTTATATCTCAATTAAGTTTAAATATGTGTGAAAATTATTCTCTATTATCCAATAAGGGAGAATTCCAATTAAATCTAATTGAAATACGTAAATCCAAATTCAGCCTATATTTTTAACAAATTTCTAATCAGGCCATGAGGCCTCATTAGGGATTTATGAATGTGACCATAATGCCCTCTTTAATTAAAATAAAAATTGATTATTTTGCCCCTCCCAAGTGTTCGCTCATCTCTTATAATTATTTTTAGGACTAAAAAACACATAAGTATTTTTATAGCATTTAAAATTTGTATATATAATTAAAACCTGCAAAGATATTTTAATCAAAACATATTAAATTACATTATAAGTGTCCTTTAGCTAAATATTTTGTACTTTTAGGTTGTAAATATTTATTTTAAGATTTTAAAATATCTTAGTTACAAGAAATATTTATTATTAAGTTGTTGTAAATTATGTTTTTGTGTAGGAAACCAACATCTGCTTAACTAAATAAAACTAACGTAAATTATAAGAACATAATATTAAATTTTTTAATTAAAATATTTTGAGATCTTAAAATAAGTATTTGCAAACAGAAATAAAAAAATATTTATTTCAAGGCTATTTACATTGTAATTTAAAATGTTTTATTAGAATATTTTTTAAGCTTTTAGTTATATATACAAATTTTAAACACTATAAAATTACTTATGTGTTTTTTGTCCTAAAATAATCATGAGATATGAGAGATTAGTTAAGAGTAAAATAATTATTATTTTTAATTAAAGAAGGACATTTTAGTCATCTAACAACATTCAAAAATTCTAAATTAGGCTTCATGGCTTGATTAAAAATTTGTTAAAAGTATAAGCCTTAATTTGGATTTAAGTATTTCAACCAGGTTTTATTAGGATTTTCCCATCAAACAATGTCTCTGGGATTTTTCTTAAATTTTTGGACATCATCTGACGGTGCCGAGTGGAAGGGCCATCGCTTAACGGATAAAAGTTACTCTAGGGATAATAGACTAATTTGCCCCAAGAGCTTACATCAACGAGAAGGTTTGGTATCTTGATGTCGGCTCTTCACCACATGAGGCTTTAATTCTTGACTGGAGGGGACACCAAAGGCCTTTGCCTTTCCATTCCTTGGATAGATAGAGAGGGAGGGCAGAGAGTTTTTGGTTTTTTCATGTTGTTAAAAGTTGAACAATGAAAATAGATGGAGAGTGCCTAATCAAATTGATCAGGTCAGACTTCCGTCCCTGCTCGACGGTTGGGTCTTGCAATCAAGCTCCCTTCTGCCCTTGCATTCGAAGGCCAATCTCTGTCTGGTCTGAAGAAATTTTTGCACGCATCTGTTACCTTCTAGGAGACCTACACCCAATTAGGCTTACATACTCATATTTTTTCAAATATTACACCTTTGCTCCTACTAGGACATGAACGGGATGTTAGTTATATAATCTAGGGGTTGTTTGGCAAGCACCCCAAACCATGGTTTGGAAAAAATGCCAGCCAAACAGCCTCTGAAAAATATGAAACCATAGTTTGGGGGCAAACCATGATTTTGAACCCCCAAACCATGGTTTTATCAGAAGCAACTCTGATCTGCTTCTCGGCTCCAGTTACTGAAAGCGCATGGTGGGCCCTCAACAGATGACCAAATAGCCCTGTCTCCAATTATCAGAAGCAGTCGTCCAGTGGTTCATTCCTCTCCTCAATTATCATGATGACCAAACAATTGCTCTTCCTCTCCTCTTTTACGCTTTCTTCGTCGGTCCAGTGTTTCATTCCCCAGTCATCCACAGTCTTCCTTTCCTCCTTCACAGAACGAGTCACCGTCGGTGAAGAAGTTGCCGTCCAGCCATGGTTTGAAGGTGCCGGTGAGAGAAATCGCAGTTATTAGTTGTGAGTTTCGGCGCTCAGGTTCGGTGTGAAGCATTCGGCGGTGGTTGGTGTTCCCTGGCTCAGATCCGGCGCTCAGGTAAGGTGGTTCAGATCCGGCGTTTTCTTCTTCTCCATGGCCTCGAAATAGTCCTTGCTCTTATCCTCTGCTACTCGATGCCTTGGGAGTTTTCATGCTCTTCTGTTAATTTCAGTGTCAATTCGCTCAATTTTCATTTCTGTTCGCTCTATTTCTGGATATTCTTCGTTCTTTGTCTATTTCTGGACATTCTTCGTTGTTTATGCCTCATGTCTCTACTGTTGGGTCTTGCGACTTGAAGGGAATGACTCTGGGTTTTTCTTACATTCGAGATTTCTTTCTTTAGTGTTTCCATTATGTTTCGAGTTGTAATAATCAGTAAAAACCATGGCTTTAGATGCTGAAATAAAACTTTTGTGCTGGAGCAGTACTGACGGTCACAGGAGGAATGCACTTATTGTCACCGAAAGGGACATTCAAAGGATCATTGTTATCATCTTGTGGGCTTGCCCTCCTAATTTCCGATCAAAGCAACCAAGCATCTACTACATCTACTACCGTTCATACTTCTAATTCCTCTCCTTCTACTTCTGTCCTCCGACCTGAACAAGCATCCATCACACAAGAGCAGTATGATCAGATTCTTAAACTTCTTCGAAAGGAACAAGATGATATTGCCGTAAATGTGACTGACTGTCCTGATGAGACTTTCTCAGGTTTGGTTGCTGCTCTTCCTAAATCCTTTTGTGAATCTCATTGGATTCTTGATTCTGGAGCCACCTGTCATGTAGTCAATAGTGTTGATATGTTTGATACGGTTGATAGATACACTGGTCCTATAAAAATGATTAAAGTACCCAATGGAAGTCGCATGCTCATCACTCACGTTGGCACAGTCAAAATTTTAGATAATATTGTTCTTACCAATGTTTATTATGCTCATGGGTGCTGTTATAATTTAATCTCAGTATCTCGTCTAACAGCAGGGAAGGAGTTTATCGTTTCTTTCTATTCTGATTTTTGCACATTGCAGGATCTCATTCGTGGACAGACGAGGGAGATTGGTAAACTCCATGATGGACTCTATATCATTGAAACGGATTAGAAGGGCAGATACAACACTTAGTATTTCTGCTAGGCATGCACAGGATATTTGGCATAGACGTCTAGGCCATGCACCAATAGATAAACTCAAGCATCTAGATCAAATTAGACAGGAAGTTCCTACAATTTACATGATAAGTGCATCATATGTGCCCGTTCTAAACAACCCCGCTTACCTTTCCCTTTCAGTACTTCTAAATCTCAGTCTTGTTTTGATCTGATACATGTAGATGTGTGGGGACCATATAAAAGGCCCAGTTACAAATTCTATCGTTACTTTCTTACTATTGTCGATGACTACACACGTTGTACTTGGACTTTTCTGCTTGTTAATAAAAGTGATACTGTTTATCATTTAAAGAATTTTCTTGCCTATGTCCATACTCAGTTTACTTCTACTGTTAAGAAAATTCGTAGTGACAATGGCTTAGAATTTGTTAATGCTGAATTACAACATTATTTGCAAAGCAAAGGAATTATACATGAGACTAGTTGTCCCTATACCCCACAACAAAACGGTGTTGTGGAACGTAAGCATCGCCATCTATTGGATGTTGCTAGGAGCCTTCTATTCCAATCTGGTATACCCCTAAAGTTTTGGGGGGAAGCTATTAAAACTGCAACTTTTTTGATCAATCGTACTCCCTCCTCTACTTTAGGTCATAAAACTCCTTTTGAATTATTATATGGTTACCCACCTGATTTGTCTTTCTTAAGAGTTTTTGGTTGCTTGGCCTTTGCCACTAATTTAAATATTCAAGACAAGTTTCAAAATCGATCTGAACCCTGTGTTTTCTTGGGTTATCCTGGCACTCAAAAGGGTTATTTGCTTTATAATCTCCAATCTCATAATTTTTGTGTTAGTGGACATGTCATCTTTGATGAAACCAGGTTCCCCTTTCAAGATGCAGCAGGTCTCAATCAAGGGGGAGCTCCTCATAATGATATGATTGATCCCTTAGAGCAGTTCAGCCACAAGTATGATGAAGAAGCTCCTCTGCCTATTACTTTCAGGCAAGATACTTCCTCTTTTGACCACCAAGACACTGTTGGAGATAAGCATGGTGATCCCATCATTCCAAATGAAAGGGAAATACCTCAGAACAGACCTGTTAGATGCAGAAAACCTCCTATCTGGATGAAAGATTACACATCCAGCACTGGAACATGTTTCAAAGGTCTGATAGGATATGCATGTACATCTCAAACACCACAAACAGTAGGTAAAAGGGAGGTAAAATATCCTATGCAATCTGTTCTTTCTTATTCTAACCTTTCTACTAATTACAAGCATATTCTATCTAGCATTGACAGTGTCACTAAGCCTTGCAGCTATGAAGAGGCCATAAAGGACCAACGCTGGATTGATGCCATGCAAATCGAAATAAAAGCTTTGGGGGATAATAAGACATGGGAGATTGTAGATTTGCCTAAAGGTAAAAGACCCATAGGGTGCAAATGGGTTTATAAGGTTAAGTATGACTCAAATGGAAACATTGAGCGCTTCAAAGCTAGACTTGTTGCTAAAGGGTATAGCCAACAAGAAGGGATAGATTACTTTGAAACTTTCTCACCTATTATTAAGATGGTAACTATTCGTATTGTTCTCAGCATTGCTGTGATGAATTCTTGGGAACTTTTTCAGATGGATGTGCATAATGCCTTCCTCCAAGGTGATTTAAAGGAAGAGGTATATATGCACATTCCACAGGGACTTGGTAAATTTGAAAACAACAAGGTTTGTAAATTAACTAAGTCCCTATATGGCCTTAAGCAAGCATCACGGCAATGGAACGAGAAGCTTACTGAAACTCTTTTACAAGGTGGTTTTAGGCAAAGTTTCTATGACTATTCTCTGTTTGTTAGACAATCTGATTCTGAAACTATTTTGGTGCTGGTTTATGTAGATGATTTAATAATTACAGGCAGTAATTTAGATAGTATTGCTGAGGTAAAACGACTGCTGCACAGTAAATTTAAAATTAAAGATCTAGGAGAGTTGAAATATTTTCTAGGAATAGAAGTAGCTAGGTCAAAGCATGGGATAATTCTTAACCAACGTAAGTATACATTGGATATTTTTTCTGAAATGGGCTTGACTGCAGCTAAACCGCTTAGTGTACCTATGGAGCAGAACATCAGATTACATGGTAAACCCAAGAAGGAGACTGATGATCCTTTGATTCCACAGCCAACCATGTATAGACGATTAATAGGTAAGCTCTCCTATCTTACGGTTACTAGACCTGACATTAGTTTTTCTGTGCAGACCCTCAGCCAATTTCTGAATGCACCAAGGAGATCTCATTACAATGCTGCACTCAAAGTGGCAAGATACCTGAAAGGAAGTCCAGGATTGGGAATAATGATTGCTGTATCTAAGTCAAACAAGCTGGAATGTTATGTTGATTCAGATTGGGGGACATGCCCGGATACTAGGAGATCAGTCACTGGATATGTGGTAAAGTTTGGAGGATCTCCTATATCGTGGAAATCCAAGAAGCAAAATACCGTTTCAAAATCTTCAGCTGAGGCAGAATATAGAGCCTTAGGGAATGCTGTGTCAGAAGTGGTTTGGGTCACCAGATTGTTGGAAGACCTCCATGTAGATGGACTGAAACCTGTCAATGTATTCTGTGACAGTAAATCTGCCATACACATTGCCAACAATCTTGTTTTCCACAAAAGAACTAAGCACATAGAGATCGATTGTCATTTTGTAAGAGAAAAATTGCAGCAAGGAATCATAAGCCTCCAACACGTGAAGAGCAAGGAGCAACAGGCAGACATACTAACAAAGGGACTTGGAGTACAAGATCATGTTAGGTTACTTAGCAAGTTAGGGACAAAGAACTTATTTGCCCCCTAACTTGAGGGGGAGTGTTAAGATATGTGTTCTGTATATTATTGTAATTATCTCGATTGTTAGGAGGTTAAGTAAGACTTTTGACCGTTGGACCAATGTCTATAAATAGAGGTCCAAATATGTTCGGTCAAGTGTGTAATTGAATGGGCTTTTAGCCTAAACTATCAATGAAGTCCAGATCGTTCTGTCTTGAGTTCTCTAGCCCATCTTAACATGGCTCAACCACAAGCGAATCCATTTGATCATTACATGCCCTATTATCAGTCTCATCAGCAACATGATGTGTGGATGAATCTAGCCAATCCCTTTGCTCATAGGGCGTATCCTGGGAATCCTATTTCACAACCACAGGTCATTCATGGAGCGTTTCATCAAGAAGCTAACATCAGCCGAAATTGGAAGCATCCTCCAAGGGAATAATCGGTATCGATATATATAATGCAGAAAATAGAAGCAGAGAGAATGAAACTATTTTGATGTATAATGGCCATGGACCTTGATGAGAATGAACTATGTTGATGTATTGTGGATCCATAGAATGAATAATGGAATTATTCAGTGAATTGTCTCTGTTATTGGATTGTTGTGAACTTGCTGATTTGGGATTTGATTTTCTGTAGCGCCAGAAACCCCGTCGTCATATGTATGAAAGTATTGATTTGGCAGGTTAAAATGATATGGTTCAAACTATGTAAATCATTTGATTATATATTTTTATCTTTCTCTGTTATATATGAATAGATCATTTATATATTAGGCTCGGAGTTTTGTGTGCGTAAAAATTTATAAAGCACAAAACATAACAATAATATGATTATAGTACAAAATAAATTAAATTAACAAAAAATTTTTAAAAAAATCTATGATTACATAAATTAACAATTAATTAATTAATTATATTAAACATCAGAGGTTATTATACATGTAGTATGTTATTACAAAAAGTAGTTGTGAAAAAATGTTATAGAATTTCATGTTTAAAATTATTAAAGAAAATTAATATTTTTCTGTTAACAAAAAAAATTCATTTTTCTATAAACATATTTAATATTATGTTTTATAAATATATATACACATATTAATTATGTATTAATTATATTATCTTATATATTATTAATTATGTTAGTAAAAATTATTTCATTAACAATTTTATTTCTTCAAATCAAAATATATCATAAAATATATCTTTTATATAATTATCATATTAACTTATACCCTTTTTGGTAATTTCCACATGTAAAAAGTGCTTCTGGTAATAACTATCCAAACACTCTCACTTCTCAGAATCTCTTTTTCACAGAATTTATTCTCTACAGAATCTATTCTCCAGAAGCTATTTTCTAAACCATGGTTTGGTTTCATCCAAACACACCCTAAGAATGTTACTTGGGCATATGTACTATTTTATTTAACTCTTAACTAAATTTTAATTATGAGTTTAGCCTTTATTAGATAAAAAAAAAAAAAAGAAGGAAGGATCTTGGCCAGTGATGAGGAAAGGGTCCAAGAGATATATAATTTTGTTCATTGATGTTATCTTATTTTATTTTTGAATTAAATTTTAAGCGTAGAATTCCTCTTTATTTCATTTATTTATTTTTCATACCGTCAATCATTTAAAAATCATCTTTAACCCAAAGAAATATCTCCGAGCATATATGGCAAATGATATTATATTTGATCAAAAAAATAATTAAAAAAGACACATATACTATATGTACTTTGCTAAATTGGATTTTTTTTTTTCAATTCTATTTAGGAAAAAATAATAACATAGCTTCAATACTACCTCTTATCCTTGATATAAAATCTAGTTTGTAATTCAATTACTATTTGATCATAAAATCATAAAAGATTTTATGTTTTCTTTTTGTTGGGATGCATTTAACTGATCATTTCATCTACTTGTTCACAAGCATTCCTTTAATATACCATATTGCTTAAGATTTGTAATCATATTAATTTAATTGTAATGAATTTGAATCCATCAATTTTAAACCCCTAATTAACCAAAGTCAAAGCTCAATGAAGTACAAATTGTAAATAAGCTTCAAATAATAATGACGGTATTAGATTTAATTTATTCAATTTCCCTCGTTTAAATTGGATTTTTTTGATCCTATTTAAGGAAACAAAATAACCTATTTGCCAATTGCCATATGTTTAGGAGAATCCACAAAATCATACAAGAATTTACTTTTTGTCCATAATTAATTAATTGTTTTTTAAATTCAACAGTCGTTCCCAAGCAAAGCTTTCAGTTTCAACACAATAAAAAAAATAATTTGGTCAAATCTTTATATAAAATGGATCAACAAAGAAATTGTGCGTCTTTAATTTTATGCACCCATCTACAAAAGTGGATATTATCATACATCTGGCAGAAACACATTTGAAACAAGCCCCATGAAGCGGCACGATTATACATGCAGGGTTGTCTAATTCGTGAGTTTAAGAAAACTTGTGATAGGAATATAAACTCAAAACATAGATTCAGATCGTAAGCTCATAAGTATTTACTTTTATTAATAAATTGGTATTAAAAGTTTACAATTAAATATTACAATATTAAAAATGACAATAATTTTATTTACAAATATTTTAAATCCAAATAATTAAAATTACATCTATCAATGTTCATAATATATCATATTCAACTAAAAAAATTTCTATGAAAGCCACATAATTATAAAGTCACTGAACAAAATTAAATCCAAAATTCTAAAACGAGTTTAAGAACTAGTTGATACAATTTTGTAAGCTAAAGACATAAAAAGAGTAAACTCACAAATTCAGCTAAGGTTATAGCTAGTATGGTTTAAGAATAAATTGACATGATTTTGTAAGCTGAAAACGTAAAAACATTAAACTTGAAAAGTCATCTTTTGAGTTTGACAACAATGTATATATGTTTTTAATATAGTAATAACCTACCAATTACAATAATATTGCTCAAGATATGCAAGAGGAAATCCAGCCAAAATAAATAAATAAATAAAGACTATGACTTCAGAAATAGCATTCTACGTTTTATAAATTTTGGGGAACAATAGGCGGCAATTCGCAGAACCTTTAGGACATGCTGATAATCTTATGAGCATCTGAAGGTTTGAATCTGCATTTTCCTCAGAAGAACTGCGGATGAAGATGGTCCTCAAATTCCTTGCATACTTCATCATCAATGAAGCGAGTTCAAATTGATCGACATTCCAACCCTCTATATTCAAAAAGACAAATTTCCTTAAGATTTGATGCAATGGAATGAGGAATTTCAGGCATTGCGTCGTCCATCTTCCTTCTCCTGAAACCAGACACAGGTTGAAGCTACATATACATATGTGTGTGTGTGTGTGTGTGTTATAAATCTCAGTTAGAAAACTAACCAACTAAAAAGTAGCGTGAGCATTAAGTTAACTAAAATCACAACCAACCTTATGAA